CCCGAGCTCAGCCATCCCCCCCAACACGCATGCCGAGGGGCAGCGACCAGGATGGGCACATGCAAGGCATGGCCGAGGGGCCGTGCCCATGGAGGCCACAGCAGGGCCCTGCCTGCGCCGCGGCCGGACCCCCACCCGGCCTGAGTGAAAGGCAGTTCACAGCTGCCACGGGGCCACAGCGCCCCCTCCAGCCGGGCACAATGGAGCCCATGTCTCCACAGGCTGGTGGCGCCAAGGGGCAGGAATCTGGGGTCAAGCATCTGGGGACTGCAGAAGAGCCCGCCCCAGCACGTGGGCGGCTAAGCCCGGGACCAGCGAGTGGCAGCCCCGCCCCCAGCCAGCGCTGCACTGCCCTCTGCAGGGCGCCCTCAGTGCGGGCGGATGGCGGCCCCATCTGCCATAGCCGGCCCAGGCCGGAAGGGGCCATGTACCTCGGCCCCATAGCCCAGCCCGGTGCACCCAGGTGCTCAGCCCCTGCCCACCTGGGAGCTCACCCTGGCTGGCCGCCCCGACTCCCGGCAGCACCCTCGCGAGCACCGCGCCCCAGAGGAGGGAGGCTGGCTGAGCACCCCCACACACACCCTGCCTGGCACACTCACCTGAGCGCCCCGGCTGCTTGCCATGGGCAGGAGACCTCGGTGAGCGGGAGGTACACGATCGGGCCGTTCTGCGCCGCTGTGGCCGGGAGCCCTGCGCCGAGAAGTCGGCCGCATACTCTTCCCCCTCGCGTTTCAAACTCCTGCAGGCCAGGCCTGCGGCATGAGTGCTTCTTCCCAGCCCCGCTCCTGCCCCCGGAGCACGGGCTCGCCGGGTGTTGGACCCAGGCTGAGCCCCCAACCCGCAGGCCTGCGGCCAGTGCCCCTGCAAGCCCCCCAAGCCAGCCCCTCCTGAAGACCCCCGATCCGGCTCCACACCGGCCCAGCTGTCCATCCAGGAGGCCCCAAAAGCAGAGCCAAGAGCAGCCAACAGGCAGCAGACCCAGCCCAGCCCCTGCCCCTCCCCCATGGGCGAGCCCAGGCCCAGCCCACATCGGGGAACAGGGACCAAGGGCCTGGAGGCGAGGGGACAAAGGCGGCCACCTGACCCATCCAGAACCAGCCCCAACACCCTCCGCCCCCAAGCACCCCCTAGCAGCCCTTACCCACGGGCCCACCCGTAGGCCCACCCTGACATGGGCAGCTTCGGTGACAACACCCCTGCCCCAAAGTCCTCTGGAGAGCTCCTCCTCTGCCAAGAAAGGCACATTCCTGGGCACCCCAGCAGCAGCCCCCCAGCCATCCGCACTCCCAGCCGGCTCCCCACCTACCACAGCCATCTGCCACCGGGCCCTTGGACCTTCATCCCGGCCACCACCCCCGAGCTCCCAGAGTCCTTAGAGCCTGGCACTGGGCAGCCTGGCGGGGCAGCTCCGGCCGGGCTGCTATTTTGAAATGCGGCAGCCGCACCTGTCTAGGGGAGACCCCACCCCAGGTGCAGAGCACATTCCTGAGCCTGGAGCCAAAGTCCCGAGAAGTCCTGGGCCTATTCGAACAACTGCTCCCTGAGCAGCCGGTCGCAGCTTCTCTCTGCATCCCTCCCACAACCCCGGGAAACTGAGGCTCAGAGGGTGAGGCCACCCACTCCGGGCTCCTGCTCCGTGGACAGACAGCTGGCCTGGGAGGGGACGGCCTGGGGCCGCGCACGCTGTGTGACCCGGGGACCCTCCTTCCTCTGGGCCTTGGTTTTCTCACTCGAAAATCGAGAGCTGGGGCTGCCGGGAGTCCAGTCCCGATCTGCGCGCTGAGAGGGATGGGGGAAGAGGGGCTGGTCTCCCCTCCCCAGGGCCCAGAGAACCACCCAGCCCCCACCCACCGGTCTCCAATGCCACACCCCGGCTACTGCTGGGGCCCAGAGCCAGCCTCACCCGGGGCAGCCCTGGCTGCAGCCCGTTACCCTGCCACCCGGGGCCGGGCCCGAGGCACAGCGGGGATATAGGTAGCACAGCGTGAGCATCGGGCCTGCGCAGCACCGGCCCAGGCCCAGGAGGGAGCCACTGCGGAGGCAGCCCTGCCGCGGAGGCACGCTGGGCGTGGAATTTCCGGCACCATGTTCCGGAGAGAGCGAGGGAGGCGCAGGGGAGGGCTGTTCTGGCCCAGCCTGGGCCTCGTTCTCCGGGGCCTGGGGGGTGGGTATACAAAGCCGCACCCCCCTCTGGAGCCCGCGCCCACTCCTGGCCATAACTAAGTCTGCTCAGGATGTTCCGGAGAATGGCCCGGTGTTGCCGGGACCCTCAGTCGTGGACGGGGACCCTCAGACAGGCAGTCCCCCGGGCTAAGGGTCTCGGCCACCTCGGAGGGTTCCGGAGCATGAGTGGGCTGACAATGTGGGCTTTAGAAAGGCAACGGCCACGTGATTGTCCTCACCCTGCAAGTGGGCTGGTGCGAGCTCCGTGGCCCTCCTGGGACTCTGGCTGGTCTCCCTGAAGGGCGTGATGCTGGCTGGGCAGAACAGCCAGCAACTTAACATGAAGGTGCCCAGAATACAGGCGGGTGCTGTGCCAGGCGGGGGTGCTGTGCCAGGCCGGGGCGCTGTGCCGCCACCCTGACTGCTCTGAGAGCAGACTCCGGCCTCCAGCCGGGTGGGGCCGGCCTCGTCGCGTGTGGGTGCACGAGGTCCCGGCCAGGCACGGCAGGAGCATGGCCCGGGCGGCTCTGCGTGGGCACCCTGGCTGGGGTCCTCAGCCCTGCACTTTCCTCCCTGCCCAGGCTGCACGGATCGCGGTGGCACCCTGAGGCCTCGGCTCCAGAATACCGGCATGCACCAGCGTGCCCCACGTGGCTGGCCTCAGCCCCATGGCGACTGCAAGTGCCGGGAGGCTTCAGGGCGGGGCAAGGAAGCGTCTGGGCGCCTTCGGTCTCCTGTTTGCTGCCTGGAGAGCAGCGACCGAGGGCCTGTAGGGCCTGCAAGCCACCCTTGGCCGCACCCACAGAGGCACCAAAGAGGTGGGGCGGTGGCCAGCGTCCCTAGAGCCCCACGGTGGCTGGGCACCAGCAGGCCGCCTCAGTGGCCGAGCGAGGGAGGGAAGCAAGCTCGGGGCCCGTGCACCAGAGAGGGCCCAGCCGCCCCCCGGCCCTCACCTAATCCGATTGCCGCCCTTCTTACAGCACAAGCAGGCCAGCATGAGGACGATGAGCTGAACAGCCCCGAGAAAGACACAGCCACCCACGGCCAGGAGGACGACCAGGGGAGCTCGCTGTGCGGCGCGCCGTCTGCAGGAGAGCAGCGCGGGTTGGGGCGCCGTGGCCGGCGGTGCCCAGGAGCCAGACTCAGGTGCCCCTCGTCCCTGGCCCCCAGCCCCAACACAGCCAGGCGGGCCAGACACCAGCGCAGCCGGGGCAGGCGCACGGACCTGCAGTCCCGCGGCCGCCACTGGGCCGCTCTGGTCCAGCGGGCGACGCCGGCTGGGGAGGCGGCCAAGCCCGCCGGCGCCAGATCTGGGCTCTGGACCTTTCCGGGAGGCGGGTCTCGCGGGCTGCAAGGGGACCGGCTCTCCTGGATTCCAGTCACGACGGACCCTGCCACGCAGGGAGATGTGGAGCCGCCAGGTCCCGGCCACCGGCAGCGGGCCCTGGCAGCCGGGGGCAGGCCCCGAGATGGGAAGCCTTCCGGCCTCCCCGAAACATGGCGGCCGTGTCTGGGGCAGCCAGGGCCCCCCTGTGCCACCGCACCTCCAGCTCATCCCCCTGCGAGCCCACCCTGGGGCCTGGGGCGCCTCTAGGGCTGTGGTCAGCAGGGACCCCCACCCCCTGCAGCACCTGGTCCAGGTGGGCGCCCTCCTCCAGGTGGGAAACTGACAGCACGACCTGGGCGCCCCAAACCAGCGACTGAGCCAGAGCTGCTGCCACACTCAGGGCCCCGAGCAGAGCTGGGGTCTTGGGGACACTTGGTGGGCTGGTGCCCACAGGATGGCACTCGCCAGCCTTGGGTCTGCAGAGCGAGAAACCACTGACCTGGACACCTCAGCCGCCACCGGGCTCACACTGTCGTGCCCCTTTCTGGCCACTGAGCAGGCACACCTCAGAGAACCCCGTCACCACCCAGCACACCCGCCCAGGCAGCTGACCATTCTGCCCGCCACAGCAAGAAACGAGGCTCAGCAAGCGAGTGGTGCTGTGGCGGCACAGCTGACTTGGAACTGGTGATGCCTTCAGGCAGCTGTGACTAACAAACGCATCTGACGGGCTGCCTTGGTGGTGTGAGCCCAGGTCCTGGAAGGTGGGGTGATGCGGCGGCTGGGTTTTCCTGCCACAGTCCCCGGAGCCCACACGGGGAAGAGAGGTTCCGGGGCAGCCTGGAGGGGAACCAGCAGGCTGGGGCAGACAGGAGGTGAGACCAAGGTCACACACGGCTGGGACGGGCCAGCTCATGCGAGAACCCCCGGGAGGGCAGCCCACCCAAGGGACCGGGCTGTTGTCCCTGACCCGCAGGAGCGTTCGTCGGAGCCCTCAGAGGTGAGGTTACGGTGTGCATGCATAAATGAAGCCCGCTGTGCAGCCCCCACGGGAGGGGACGCGCAGGTCTTCAGATGCTGGCACCCAGAAAGCAGCTGGGCCTCAAGGACGGTGCTTGTTGCCATGGCACTCTTTGCCTCCATCTGGTGCCCAGCATGGCGTCAACTCAGCTCCTCTCTGCCACCTCCGCCACGCTCCCTGGTGCAGGATCCCAGGCAGCCGGCCTTCCCACGTGGGGCACGTGGCGATGCACAGGCCCCTGCGCCCAGGACCTGGGGCTGCGTCTCCCCGTCATCAGACACGGCTTGCACATTATGTCGGAGCGCCCACCCCGGGGACAGGTGTCTGCTGGGCAGAGCCACCCGGGAGGCCCCTCTCAGCTCCCCAGCTGCGCCTCCAGCCACAAGTCCTTTCCTGTTGACCCATGCCTTCCTGCAGTTCCCCTGAGACCTCCAGCAGGCCCCGGTCCAGGGGGCTGGGGTGGGCGGGCGAGAGAGCAAAGTGGCTAGGATGGCACAGTGGGCCCCCCGTCTCCGGTCCCGGCAGCCCCCACCTGTGCCCGGACCCACATGTGCCAAGGCCCCCAACCTGTGCCCAGAGTCTCATCTGTTCCGGAACCCCCACCACCTGTGCCCGGCCAAACTGTGCTCAGAGCCCCCACCTATGCCAGAACCCCCACCTGTGCCCAGAAGCCCCACCTGTACGCCGACCCACCACCTGTGCCGGAAGCCCTACATCGTGTTGGAGCCCCACCTGTGCCCAGAGCCCCACATCTGTGCCGGGAGCTCTCACCATGTGCCTGGACCCCTGTGCCAGCCACCCACCTGTCCCAGAACCCCCCCTGTGTCCAGAGCCCCCCTGTACCGGAGCCCCGACCTGTGCCCGGAGCCCCACATCTGTTCTGGAGCCCCACCTGGCCCTGGAGCCCCACATCTGTGCATCGAGCCTCCCTGCTGCCGGACCCCACCTGTGCCAGAGCCCACTGTGCCCGAGACCCCACCTGTGCCTGGAGCCCGCCACCGCTGTACCCGGAGCCCCATATCTGTGCTTGGAGCCCCCGTCCCGGGCCACCATATCTCGTGCTTGGAGCCCCCACCTGTGCCCAGACCACCTGTGCCCGAGCCCACTGTGCCCGAACCCCCACTGTGCCGAACCCACCTTGCCGGACCCACCTGAAGAACAGTAGACACACACCCCCCCCCGCCACAGCAGGTTCAGGGCTGCACCCAGACGCCGCCCTTAGACTGGTTAACACCATTTCACAGACGAGGCACGCTGAGGCCCGGAGCCCGTGGAAGTAGTGGCTCGTCCAGGTCCCCAGCAGCTGTGCCCCCAACAGCCACGGCAGGACCGCCCACGAGAGGCTCCCACCCGCTTCCCGGGCAGGCTGCTGCTCGGTTCACCGCACCGCTGCCAGTAACGCCTGAGCCCGCAGGCACCGCCGCCCGCGCCTCGACTCCCCACCCGTTGTCAGCAGGCCGCCGCCGCCGAACTAGCTAAGGCAGGTGCTGAGCGCCGACCAGCGCCTGCAGTGCTTGTGACGCCTGTCGTAACAACGAACACAAATGGCACGCCACACGCGCACACAAAACGCAAACACACGTGCACAGGACACTATGGCAACGCACACAACAGCATGTGGCACAAGTCAGACACACTGTACACTGCCACAAATGCTCTCTTGCTGGGGCCTCAGGGAAATAACGTGAGAGACTCCAGAGTACGCGGCCGGAAGGGGCCGCTGGGAGGGGCAGTCTCATGCTGCAAATGAGTAAACTGAGGCACAGAAAGAGAAGTGGCTTGTCCTGGGCGTAGGGTGGGGTGGGGGCAGCGGGAGGGGCGGCTGTGGTGACGCCTGTCCCGCAGGTGTTCCTGGGGGAGGTGAACTCGGGCGTGAGCAGCGCGCAGGTGGTGGTCAAGGAGCTGAAGGCCAGCGCCAGCGTGCAGGAGCAGGTGCAGTTCCTGGAGGAGGCGCAGCCGCACAGGTGGGCACGGGGGGACCCGAGAGTGGGGGGTGGGCTGTGTGGGGCCCGGCCCGTGACAGAGCCCCGGGCCACCGCCCCCTCCCCTGGGCTCTTGCAGGGCCCTGCAGCACAGCAACCTGCTCCAGTGCCTGGCGCAGTGCGCGGAGGTGACGCCCTACCTGCTGGTGATGGAGTTCTGCCCGCTGGTGAGTCGCCGCCCGCGGCCCCCGCCCACCACCCGCCACCAGTGGGCTCTGCTGAGCTGGGCCTCCCTTGCCCAGCCGGTGTGTGGTGCCTCCCCTGTGGGCTTCACAGCCCCCTAAAGTGGGGTGGGGGGTCCTGCCCCAACCCCCCAGAGGCGGCCCGCAGGGGCAGGGGGACCCGGGTCAGCAGGGAGCGGGCTGGAGCCTGACAGCCGCTTGCCCACCTGCCCGTGCCCCTCAAGGTCCAGCACCGGGCATCCTGGCAGCCTTGGGGGCCCATCCGCACCCCTCAGCGCCACGTGGGGCCCGGCTCTTGCTGGACACACGGCCCTCCCGGGACCTGGTCACGTGGGCAGAGGCGCCGGCTCCCCTGGGCAGCTGGCAGCACCTGGCTCAGCCCCACCCGTCCCTGCATCGGGGGGAGGCGATGGGGAGGTGGGTGCATGGGGTCCCCCAGGGAGCTGGTGCCCCCTCCCCAGCTGGCTGGTGACCTGCCGTGCACCTGTTGGCAGGGAGACCTCAAAGGCTACCTGCGGAGCTGCCGGGTGACAGAGTCCATGGCACCTGACCCCTTGACCCTGCAGCGCATGGCCTGCGAGGTGGCCTGCGGCGTCCTGCACTTGCACCGCCACAACTACGTGCACAGGTGAGGGCCAGGGGTGCCGTGAGGACGGACCAGGCCATGTTTACACGGCATGCGACAGCCACCACGCAAAGGAATCCTGCCAAATTTCCTAAAAATCGGCAAGATAGGGGTCTGACAGCTGCTTTGCAGGATTAAACGAAGAACCCCACACTGTCCAGCGGGCCTGTCCTCTGTCCCCGAGGTAGCAGCCACCACCCAGAGCACCCCCATGCTGGCCCCACGCCCTCCACGTCCCTCAGGCAGCAAAGGGAGGACTTCGCTGGCCCCCCAGTGGGAGGGAGGGCTCTCCTGTCCTGCCCTGTCCCTCCCTGTCCCGCTCTGTCCTGCCCTGGCAGCCAGGATACCCAGCCCCGGGGACGTGCTGGAAGAAGTGGCGTTGGACTCGTGGCCGCGCCAGCCCTGGACGCCGCTCGGCCGTCCTCCCCAACAATATCCTGGTGCTGAGTGATGACTCAGGCGACTCCAGCATCAGTGATTTTGTTGAAGAGGGCAGCTGCCAGCCTCCTGACCCGCCGGCCGCGCCCCCTCCCCAGAAAGCAGCCCAGCCCCACGGCTGTCCCCAGGCACTCAGACACGGGCCGGTGGGGTGGGTGTGGGCCGACTCGTACCTGCCCCAGCGCCCTGTGCCCCGAGCACCTGCGGGACCACCAGCCAGGCAGGGGATCAAGCCAGCAGCCAGGGCCACCGGGTTGGAGGCCCCCACCCTGCCCTCGGGCCAGGAGGGTGGCCTGGGGCAAGCCTCAGCTCTGGCCCTGTGTGGGCAGGGCTGGGCCAGGCCTTGGTACATGGGCTCTGGCAGCTGGCAGGACTCCCAGGACACTCCAGGCCTCAGTTTACCCATGGAGCTGAGGGTGATGGTGTAGTGGGGTTGGGAGGAAAACTGCAGAGGGGCAGGGCAGAGGGGGCATGGGGGTCTGGGGCTGGCCGGGCAGTGCCTTCCCTGGCCCCAGGCAGGCTCCAGCCCTGTCTGTCCCCCAGTCACTCAGCTGCGCTGTAAAGTCAGAGGCAAACCTTGCCAAGCAGCCGTGCCGGGCGCAGGGGTGGGGCCCCGGGCAGCAGGGGGAGGGGAGGGCAGGGCAACCCCTCAGAGACTCCTTCCGACATGCCCACCGGCTGAGCCCAGGACACCCTGGGCCACTAGCCATCATTGGCAGAGGACCCTCTGTGCTGGACGGCCCAGCCCGGCCCCCCCAGCTGACCGTGCCCCTCCCCGCAGCGACCTGGCCCTGCGGAACTGCCTGCTCACGGCCGACCTGACGGTGAAGCTCGGCGACTACGGCCTGTCCCACTGCAAATACAGGGTGAGTGGGGCAAGGCAGGGCGGGGTGGGGCGGGGCGCAGGGCTGGGCCGGCCACCCGGCAGGGGTGACCCTGTCCCCGCCCTGGGCGCCCGCAGGAAGACTACTTCGTGACGACCGACCAGCTGTGGGTGCCGCTGCGCTGGATCGCCCCGGAGCTGGTGGATGAGGTGCACAGCAACCTGCTCGTGGTGGACCAGACCAAGGCCAGCAACGTGTGGTGAGCACGGCTGCCCGGGCGGCGTCAAACCGTGGCCGCTCGCGAGGTCGTGGGGGGCTGGGTGGGTGGGCAGCAGAACAGAGTCAGGGTGCCCAGGCTGCCCAGGGCCGACACCCACCAATAAATAACGGGGGCTCCAAGACCTCACCCAGAATCAAAAGCCCACCGTGAGCAACAGAGGGCTCGCCCTCCTGGGGCAGAGGGGCTCTGGGTGGGGTGTTGGCTGCCTCGGGGGTGGAGGTCAGGCCGTGCAGGCTGCAGGGCATCCCCATGACTGTAGGCTGGAGCCCCTCCCCTGATTCTGCCCTCCCAGCCTGAGCCGGGCCTGTGGGCTCCACAGGAGACCAAGCCATCCTGGGAGTGGAGGGCACAGGCCCCACGGGCTGTGGGAGCCTCTCTCGCTGTGGGGGTGCTCGTTCCTGGCCTTGGCCGGCCTCCCCGCCCCTCTGCTCCTGCTGAGCCCTCAGAGCCTGGACCCACCTGCCGGCTGCAGGGCAGATCCCCCACCAGGCACGGTGTCTGGTCTGCCGTGTGTCAAATGAGCACGTGAAGGGACAAACGCACATGTGGCCCCACACAAGCCGGGCAGGCTTTGATTGGCTGAGCACGCTGGACACTGGGCTAGGGCCTGGCCGGGGTGGCGTGTTCCATCCCTTTATGGAAGGGATGCGCTATCCTCGTGGAGGGTGGCCGCCGTGGCACTGAGCCCTGGTCCTGGAGGTGCTGGCGTGATGACAGGAGCTGCCCCGCAGGCGTCCACACAGGGATCCCGTGTGGCCTGTGCCACTGCCCGCCGTGTCTCATGGTCGTGGCCCTGCAGGTCCCTGGGCGTGACCATCTGGGAGCTCTTCGAGCTGGGCGTGCAGCCCTACCCCCAGCACTCGGACCGCCAGGTGCTGGCCTACGCCATCCGCGAGCAGCAGCTCAAGCTGCCCAAGCCCCAGCTGCAGCTGACTCTGTCAGACCGCTGGTGAGGACGCCTGCCCCGCCCTGGAGGGAAGGCCGGGGTGGGGGTGCCCCCGCCAGGCAGAGGCGGCTCAACCTGACCTGGGGATCCTCTCCAGCCGGCCTCCTCTTCTCTGACCTCACACACAGTGGCTGTGTCCCCTAAGCAGGGAGGGATGGCTGGGGGGAGTGTCCAGCCTGCCACCTGCCCCCACCAGCCTGCCACGTCTGCCCTTGGAAGACTTGGGGTGTCACCGAATGAAATGAGAGGTTCCCCCAACTGCCCTCACGGCACTTTGAGTGTAGGGGAGCCCTCCCCCTCCCGGGGGGGGGTCTCTGGTCTGGGCCCGGGCCACCCACGAGGCCTCCCCGCAGGTACGAGGTGATGCAGTTCTGCTGGCTGCAGCCCGAGCAGCGGCCCACTGCGGAGGAGGTGCACCTGCTGCTGTCCTACCTGTGCGCCAAGGGCGCCACTGAGGCGGAGGAGGAGGAGTTCGAGCGGCGCTGGCGCTCGCTGCGGCCCGGCGCGGGCGGCGCGGGCCCGGGTTCCGGGGTGGCGGGCCCTGCGGCTGAGCTCGCCGCGGCCTCGTCCTTCCCCCTGCTGGAGCAGTTCGCGGGCGACGGCTTCCACGCCGACGGCGACGACGTGCTGACGGTGACGGAGACGAGCCGCGGCCTCAACTTCGAGTACAAGTGGGAGGCGGGCCGTGGCGCCGACGCCTTCCTGCCGCCGGGGGCCGCGCCGAGCCCGGGCTGCGCCGCGCGCCTGCAGGAGCTGTGCGCCCCCGACGACGCGCCCCCCGGCGTGGTGCCCGTGCTCAGCGCGCACAGCCCGTCGGTGGGCAGCGAGTACTTCATCCGCCTGGAGGAGGCCACGCCCACCGCCGGCCACGACCCCGACTGCGCCGGCTGCGCCCCCAGCCCCCACGCCGCGGACCAGGACGAGGACTCAGATGGCAGCGCCGCTGCCTCACTGGCCACGGAGCCGCTGCTGGGCCACGCGCCGCCAGCCCACGGCCCCTGGGGCGGGTGCGACGCCCACCCACGCAGGGCCCTCACCGGGGACCCGCTCTGCTGCTCGCGCTCGCCCTCGCCAGGGCCTCTGATGCCCGCGGAGCGCGGAGCCCAGGACGCAGACTGGGGCGGGACCGCCTTCTGCCCGCCCCTCTTCAAGGACCCGCTGGGCGCATCCCCCTCAGGGAGCTCGGGGGCGGGGCCACCACAGGGCGAGGAGCTGCGGGAGGCTGGAGCGCCAAGGGCCGCCCAGCACAGACACTGGAGCTCCAACGTGTCGGCCAATAACAACAGCGGCAGCCGCGATCCAGAGACCTGGGACCCCGGCTATGGGGGCAGCTACACGGACGACTGCCCCAGCCCGAAGCAGACCCCCCTGGCCTCCCCTGAGCAGGGCCACGCCCTGGCCCAGGAGGGCCCCAGAGAGCCTCTGCTTGGGCTGCAGGCAGCCTCCCCTGGCCAGGAGCCTGGCCGCTGTCCCGACTTCCCCCACCTGTGCCCTGCCCAGGGCCTGGCACCTCCTGTCTCCCTGGTGACACCCCCCTGGACAGAGGCAGCCACTGGTGGGGGTGCCCCCCAGGCAGAACCCAGGCTTGCTGCGGAGGCCGAGGGCTCTGCTGGACCCCTTCCCGCCCTCCCCTCCCCTACCCAGCAGGGAGCCCCACTTCCCTCCGAGGCGGCCGGCACCCCTGACCTCCTGCCTGACTCGCCCACTGAGCCGGCTGGGGCTGCTGACAACAGCGGCAGCTGCTGCCCCGCAGTGGAGGTGGCCAGCAGTGAGGACGAGGACACAACTGAGGCCACTTCAGGTGTCTTCACCGACTTGTCCAGCGACGGTCCGCGCTCTGAGAAGCCGGACGCGGTGCCCGCCTTGCGCTCTCTGCAGAAGCAGGTTGGGACGCCTGACTCCCTGGACTCACTGGACATCCCGTCCTCAGCCAGTGACGGTGGCTGTGAGGTCTCCAGCCCGTCAGTGCCCGGCCCCCCCGGCGGGCAGCCCCGAGCCCTGGACAGCGGCTATGACACGGAGAACTACGAGTCCCCCGAGTTCGTGCTCAAGGAGGCCCACGAGTGCGAGCCCGAGGCCTTCAGGGAGCTGGCCCCGGAGGGCGAGAGCCCCGGGCCCGAGACTCAGCTCTCAGCCTCCCTCCCTGGCCTCAGCGAGAAGAACCCCTACCGAGACTCGGCCTACTTCTCAGACCTGGATGCCGAGTCCGAGCCTCCCACGGGCCCGGAGGAGAAGTGCGGTGGAGTCCAGGCCCCCGGGCCAGAGCCAGGCCTGGAGAGCCCGAAGAGCCCTGGGGAGCTGCCTGGGCCCGGGGTGCCCGGCGAGGCACAGGGCGCTGGCCCCAGGGAGGTGCTGCCACCATCGCCGCCCATCGACGGGTCTTCCACAGAGCCAAGCGCCGGCCCCAGGCCAGAGCCTCCTGAGTCCCCGGGCCCAGCCAAGCTGCCACCTGTGCCCAGCCCCGGCCGCCCCAAGCTTTTCCTGCTGACCCCAGTGCCACCGAGCTCAGGAGGTGACAGCTCCGAGCTCCAGGGGGCCCCTGGACTGTTGTCAGGGCTGGCCCCGCAGGAGCGGACGGGGTGCCCCAGTGCCCCACGAACCCCGCTCTGCCTGGCTCTGCCTGGCCTCCCTGCAGCCTTGGAGGGCCGGCCAGAGGAGGAGGAGGAGGACAGCGACGACAGCGACGAGTCGGACGAGGAGCTCCGCTGCTACAGCATCCAGGAGCCCAGCGAGGAGAGTGAGGAGGAGGTGCCCGCCGTGCCCGTGGTGGTGGCCGAGAGCCAGAGCGCGCGCAACCTGCGCGGCCTGCTCAAGATGCCCAGCCTGCTGTCGGAGGCCTTCTGCGAGGACCTGGACCGCAAGAAGAAGGCTGTGTCCTTCTTCGACGACGTCACCGTCTACCTCTTCGACCAGGTGGGCCGCAGCGCGGGGCCAGCGCGGGGCGGGGGTGCGCGCCCGAGGGAAGAGCAGGCCTGAGCCGCGTGGTGCTGGCCCCTCTAGGAAAGCCCCACTCGGGAGCTCGGGGAGCCCTTCCCTGGCGCCAAGGAGTCGCCCCCCACGTTCCTGGCGGGCAGCCCGGTCTCCCCCAGCGCTCCGGGCCCGCAGCTGCAGGACGACCCGACCCGCGGAGGTGAGCTGGAGGGTGGGGGCGCGGGCCTCGTGACGTCACTGGGCGGGAGGGGCTCATGACGCCACAGGGCGGGGCGGGGGTAGTGACGTCTAGGCTGCTGGGCGGGAGGGTCTCGGGCGTCGCGGGGGGCGGGGCCGGGCGGAGGGGTTCGTGACGTCACGGGGAGCGGGCGGGGCGGCGGTGCCGCGACGTCGCCGCGCGGGCAGGGTCCCAGGTGCGCGGGCGCGAGTGACGCGGCGGCCCGGTGGCAGGCGGCGCGTTCCGGTGGGACGACGACCTCCCGCCAATGCCTGCCAAGGCGGCCCTCGCCACGGCCCCCGCCCCGCCGGCCCCGGCTGCGCCCACGTCGCGCTTCACTGTGTCGCCCGCGCCCGCGTCGCGCTTCTCCATCACGCACGTGTCCGACGGGGACGCGGACCCCACGGAGTAGTGCCGGCCCACCCGTTCTCCGGCCCCTGCCGCGCCCGCCGCCCCAGCTCGGCCTCCCGCCCCGGCCCACGCGCTCTGCCCGGCGCAGCCCTCCGCCCGGGTCACGGGTGCGCCAGCGCGCAGGCCCCGGCGTCAGCGGACGCTCCCGCCGACGCTGGGGCTCCGGCTCCTCGAAGCCACCTCCTGCAGAAGCCCCTGCCTCGCTCGCAGGCAGACCCCCTCCCTAGCTGCTCGTCACCTCCTCCGCTGCAGGGCGCTGGTCTGGAACAATTGGCAGGTCATTAGCCAATGCATGCCTGTCCAGGCCTTTCCTTCCTGCACTCAGTGTCCCTATCTGTAAATAGAGACTTGGAATGTTGTCAGGTGACACACGCGAGGAGAGAAATGGCCTGGTTGTGCACCGCCGACACAGGCAGGCGGCGGCAGCCAAGGGGGCTGAGGGCCGCAGCCCCCCACCCAGTGGCCGTGTGGAGGCTGGGTTGGAGGTCTGGGCGGAGTCGTGGGGGAGGAGGCCTCTGCGTCCCAACACCTCACGTGGTACCCTCCTATTTGCCAGGCTCTGCGGCAAAGTCAGGGGTGGATTAAAGACGCTTGAGAACCCCAGGCAGCTCCCACCATTGGAGGCTGGCGTCACCGGAGCCCCTGCCAGGCAGCCAGCGAGGATGGTACCAGGAGTGAGTGTTGGGCGTGGCCTGGGCTGCAGCAGATAGGTTCCAGTGTCCGGAGAAATCGGGACAAAGGTCCTTCTCTGGGCTGGGTGTGATGCCACGCCCCAGCCCCCAGCCGTGCGGCCCTGGGTCCAGAATTTGTCCCTGGACACCGGCGTTGCTGCTATCCTAGGGGTGGCGCACCTGTACAACACCACACATGCGCGCACACAGCACCCACGCACCGAGAGGGGCCCACTCGGGCCTGCAGCTGCTGGACACTCGCCTCTGAGGTTCAGGGAGCTGCTCTTGCCACCCACCGTGAGCCACATCGACTTGCCCCCTTCATGTCACAGGACATGCCCGGCCAGGCAGAGCCCCCAAGACAGAGCAGGCTGCAAGCTCTCCTGCCCGGCCCTCCTGGTTCTGGTTCTGCTCAGCACAAGGAAGACTGGGCTTTTCTGTCCTGCATGTCCTCGTCAGAGTCTGTGCGTTCCCCCTAGCGACTCAGACTGTAGCCAGCATCTGCCCACGGCTTGGGCGCCACTTCCGGTCCCACTGCCGGAGCCTGGCTGGGGGCAGAGAGATGGGGAATGTGAGGTACAGGCCACACCCTGCCACGCAGGCCCGTCTAATGCCTTCGCAGGCCGGGTGGCTCCCCTCCGCATGCCCAGCTGCCAAAGAAGCGGGAGCCACAGCGACCTCGGTGAACGGCTCCGCCGCAGGACGGGCGTGGGACGGCGAGTGCCGGGTCGGCCGTGCAGGGAATATTTTTGTTAACATGCTGTTGCGGAGCGAATGGAAGCGTGAGCTTAAGGTAATTGTTGCCAAAAGAGATAAGTTGACATTGCCTTTGGGGGGATTTTTCGGTTGTGTTCTTGTTTTTTATTATTTTGAGCTTAGATGCTGGTGCAATGATTTCCTGTCCCCTTTCTTTTTTTTTAAAGAGAAATCAAGCTAAGAGAAAAAAATGCTTGGTGGTGTTTTTTGGGTCGCAATAGAATGTTCTCATGCTTTGACACCCTGGGTGGAGGGAGACAGTGTCCTTGGCCCTGTGACCGGGGGGTCCCCTTCCCGGGCTGGGCTGTGCTGCTGGGACAGGACGGAGGGCTGAGGGTGGGGACTGAGCACCCAGGGAGGGTCCCGCTCTGGCTTCGACCCCAGTGTGGCAGCCAGGCAGGTGGGTCCAGCCCTTCCTTAGCTCGTCTTGTGTGAACCCAGCCCTGGCCATGACGCTGCTCTCCAGTAAGACTGTAGTCACCAACGTGGTCACCAGCTGTATTTCCATCCAAAATCGCCCAATAGCACAGATTGACGTAAAGGGTTTAACTCCCACATCTGAGCAAGGCCCTGGCCTGCAGGAAGCACTGGGAGGGCGTGGCCACCAGCTTCCTGGAGTGGGCCTGGTAACAGTAACCCCCAGCCCCAACGGCAGCACACACCGGTTGACCCAGGCCACACGGCCTGACACCACTGCCCGAGAGCCTCCACAGGCCGGTTTCTGCCCGGAGCTGGGAGACCCACACTGCAGCGGGGGTGGGAGAGCCCAGAGCCCCACCCCAGCCCAGGGCGGCAGGTGGGCTCCAGGCGTCCTGCCCTCCCGCGCCCTGGAAGATCACACGGCAGCTGGGCAGCCTTTTATTGACTAGAGTGTGGGAGTGGAGGGCGGCGTGGCTCCTCTTCCAGCTACGTGCGGCTGTCTGTCCTCCGTTGCCTCCAGCCCAGGGGTGCCCCAGGGCTTCGAGCCCAGAGGCGCCTGCCCCCACGAGGCGGGTCCCTCGCCCAGGGCCCTCGGGACCAGCCCCCACCTGCGCGCCGTCCGCCAGGTACAGCCGGGTCCAGGCCAGACTTGCAAGTGGGCACAGCCCGGCAGTGGGGCTGGCCTGGTCCCTGAGGCAGAGAACAACCAGATGTGACTTCCCATGTCGGGTGGGGTGGTGGCACAACGGCAACAGAGTCAGACGTGCCGCAGCTGAGGAGGGGAGCACCTGTCGTTGGTCACCGTGGGCTTCAGCTACGTGAATGGGATCCTGAGAGGAGAGAAAAGTGCTTTACTTGCGACCAGGACGTGGGGGCAGCTGGACTCCCGGGCTGCCCATGCCCCGGGACCCCTGGCGTGACCCTACGCCCACCCTTGGGGCCTGGCTGGGTGCCGGACGGGCGCTTCTGGAGCCTGCTGCCGCAGTGCACCCTCCCGGCCCACTTCGTGTGCCCTCCCAGGGCGGTGGACTCGTTGCCGCGGTGGGCGGACACCCCTCTCGGGACCCAGACGCCTGGGCGGCGCCACGTCAGTTCTGGCGAGCGCCCCACCAGGCCAGCCAAGGAGACCACCGACACCAAGGACACAGCTCGGGGACCCCGCGAGCCCGCCCAGGCCACTCGGGGCATCTGCGGACGCCACGTCAGCCCACGGAGACACAGACACGAGACAACACCCACTGCTCCCACGGGGCTGGGTGGGACGCCCGAGGCCCTGACAGATGGCTCAGCCACCTGCCACCCCGGGACGACCTCGCACGAGGTCCCGCCAGGCTGGGGAAAAAACGCACAAGGACTCGAACAAGAGTTGAGAATGGGGACAGGAGATGACGGGGGCGGGGGGGAGGGTGGCCCGAGCCTGGGCTACGGGGCGGACTGCACGTCGGGGAGCACCGCACAGCGGTGGCGCGGGGGCGAGGCGACGCGAGGT